TATGGCACCACTATTATCCTGGAGGCAGAGGATTGCTGGGCAGTATGGCACCACTATTATCCCGGAGGCAGAGGTGGGTGGCCTCCTCTTATCGGTTTTTCACCCTGGTTAATCAGATCCATCTCATTTTACCAGAAGATTACGTTGATGATTATGGGAAGATTTACGACCCAAGAGGATACCCAAAACTACTGTGTTCTTAACCACACGACGTCCTAACAAAACAACGTTAACTACTCATGAGGTTGTTAGCGGAATTAAACCTGGACCTTAGTCAAGGACCCAAAGGACCAAAGCTAACGGATATGCTTCAATTGATGCACACAACTTCCCAAATACCTGGGAACCATGTGTGGTTAGATTCTACACGGAGACTGAGAACACCAGTATAAGGTTTGAGAATGATCAGTATAAGGTTGAGAACGATCAGTATGAGGCTTGAGAATGACTGGGTGGGCGGAGCTGGAGAATGATCATCAGTATGGAGCCTGAGAATGATCAGTGAGCTTGAGAATGACTTTCAAAGAAGAGCCTGAGAATGACTGCATGGTTTCAAGAACTGACCAAAGGGAGCCCGGGAGAATGATCAGTATAAGGCTTCAGAATGATCGGTGCATGCCTTGAGAATGATCAGTATGAGGCTTAAGGCTTGAGAATGACAGTATAAGGCTTGAGAATGATCAGTATGAGGCTTGAGAACATCAGAGATGAGAATGATCAGTATGGAGCCTGAGAATGATCAGTATATGGAGCTTGAGAATGATCAGTATGGAGCCTGAGAATGACTAGTATGAGCCTGAGAATGATCAGTATGGAGCTCGAGAATGATTAGTATAAGGTCAGAATGATTGAGAATGATCAGAGTTTGAGAATGATCAGTATAAGGCTGAGAATGACAGTATAAGGCTTGAGAATGATCAGTATAAGGCTGAGAATGACAGTAAGATAGCTTCAGAATGATCAGTAATGAGGCTGAGAATGACCAGTAAGGGAGCTTGAGGTTAGGTTAGGGTTAGTTTAGGTTTAGCTTTAGGTTAGGTTAGGTCAGGTTAATTCTTGGCGTAACAGCAGAAGGTCAGGTTCAGATGACATTTAACCCATCGTGGTGTAATTGATGGTAGTTTATATGACAAATTATCTTGCTATCTGTTCAAATAAGTACCTGTGTAACCAACTGTCTATGTAAGACGGCAACGTAGACAGAGCTACATTGTTTACACTGTCTGACTGGACGGGGGTCACTAGATCAGAGCCACAGCAGTGTAGAAGACTTCACTTGACGGGATTATGAACGTAACTCGAGTATGCGTCTGGTCAACAGTGTGTCAGGGTTCTCACCATACTGTAGGTCGGGGAGAGCAGGGTGAAGTGGTAGAATGGGAAACACCTGAAGCATTGTGTGGGGAGGTCACGGACAATAGTTAACTTTGAAGTGGTAAAGTGAGTAATATTACGTACATAATATACCGGAGAACGGACTTCAATAACTAGGTTTATATAATAGCAACCATTATAATTTACGAACGTTGATGTTGTTAAGAGACACATTGCTATTACAGGTAATCATAGCAACCATTATAATTTACGAACGTTGATTGTTGCTAAGAGACATATTGTCATAGGTAATCATAGCAACCATATAATTTACGAACGTTGATTGGTTGCTAAGAGACACATTTACAGGTAATCATAGCAACCATTATAATTTCACGAACGTTGATTGTTGCTAAGAGACACATTGCCATAGGTAATCATAGCAACCATTATAACTTACGAGCGTTGATTGGTTGGGACTTGTACCTAGTTATATTTATATTTTCATGTTTAATAGTTAATGGTAATCAAATAAAGTAATTAACTGGTGCAGAAAGTAATGATGGTTAAAGCGAGCGAGAAGTGGTGAGGAATAGTGTAATGGCTAATTAAACTGAGTGCGTGAACCTGTTAGACTTCCGCCAGGCTAGATTTATTGCCGGTAACTGATAGAATATTGGCGGGTATGGTTATTGACCTGGCACATGGCATGGACAGTATAGCCTCTAATGGAGCGTTGACTCACACTACGAAATGTTGACTCACACTACGAAACGTTGACTCACACTATGACACGTTGACTCACACTACGAAATGTTGACTCACACTACGAAACGTTGACTCACACTACGAAACGTTGACTCACACTATGACACGTTGACTCACATTTACGAAATGTTGACTCACACCACACGTTGACTCACACTACGAAACGTCCACTCACACTATGACACGTTGACTCACACTACGAAACGTTGACTCACACTATGACACGTTGACTCACACTACGAAATGTTGACTCACACTACACGTTGACTCACACTACGAAGCGTTGACTCACACTATGACACGTTGACTCACTACAAAACGTTAACAAACACACTATGAAGCGTTGACTCATACTAAAAAACGTTGACTCATACTAAGAAACGTTGACTCACTACGAAACGTTGACTCACACTACGAAACGTTGACTCACTACGAAACGTTGACTCACTACGAAACGTTGACTCACACTATGACACATTATCTCCGTTATATATCTAATCTCATCTTACCTGACCTGACCTAACCTGTCTTAACCTAACCTACTTTGATTTACACACACACACACACACACACACGTAACCACCCCAAACTGACACACATTTCAGTAATTTCAGGTACACACGTCTAAGAGCTGTGGCTAGAATATTTCGTCATTAAACCTCTCAGAAACCACAGGCGGAGGAAGGTATTTTGCGAATAGGGAATTCCACAGTAACTTGCAGCATCTGAGAACACGAGACCCAAGTTGTCTGTAAAATATTGTAAACTTTAAGATGGGAGCGGTCGAAGAACGTAGACCCGATAAAAGCGTTCGGGGGGAAACTACTGTGGTCTTTAAAGGACCTGAGAAATGTGTATTGTTAGTAGATGGTTTAGTTATTTAGTTATTGATTTCGTTACTTATTTGTTAGTTTATTTTTAGTTGGGTATTTTAGTGATTTTCCTTGGTTATTGAGTTTGACGAGTGTTACCTGAGCTAAGTACTGGGTCACTAATCTCAATGGTGATTTAGTAACATATGTGACGCCTATGATAACTTTGAAGTAAACTAAAACAAGGTAGAGTGAACAAGACCCACATTATATATTATTCTATGATCATATTAAGAGACTTAGTGTGTGCCGGAGCTCACTGTTACATGTAATACAGTTTCTCTATATAATATTACTGATGTATCATTGTAAGCTTGGAAGGACGAACATTGAGTCCGGCCAATCACACCCTGTTCCACACACCCATAGTACAGTGTCCTCACCACAGGTCGTTCTTCACACTATGTTAATTAAACCTTATAATGATAATACTTCACTTTTATAACACTCCATTAAACCAGAGTGTAAGACTTAATTAAACCCTGCTGTAAGGGTTTAACTTAGCGTAAATATAGAGAAACACTGGTCGTCTCCTTCCTTGTTATAATAATGTTTCTTATTAGAGGAAACAGTGCGCCATTATGTGTGGTAATGGCGCTTCTACACACCACCCAACAATAACACTGTTGTGGTGCTTCATAGTGACTGTGTACACCAGGGAGAGTGTACTGTAATAATAATAATAATAATAATTAACGGTTTATTGAAAAAGTTCTGCAGCCCGAAGGCTGAAAATATACATTGGACATTAATGACTTATTACATACATTGGTGGTTTAACAAAAGCCTTCATTAGAGAAAGGTAAAGGAACATACAGTGAACATACAGATTAATGTAGGTGTTGAACAGCAACTGTAGTGTAGTAACTCCCTCCCAGATGGTGTTAGGACCTCACGTGGTGTAGTAGTTCCCTCACAGATGGTGTTATGAGGGGCCTCACGTGATGTAGTAATTCCTCACAGATGGTGTTAGGAGGGGGCCTCACGTGGTGTAGTAATTCCTCACAGATGGTGTTATGAGGGCTCACGTGGTGTAGTAATTTCACAGATGGTGTTATGAGGGCCCTCACGTGGTGTAGTAGTTCTCACAGATGGTGTTATGAGGGGCCTCACGTGGTGTAGTAATTCCCTCACAGATGGTGTTATAAGGGCTCTACGTGGTGTAGTAATCTCACAGATGGTGTTATGAGGGGCCTCACGTGGTGTAGTAATTCCTCACAGATGGTGTTATGAGGGGCCTCACGTGGTGTAGTAATTCTCACAGATGGTGTTATAAGGAGTGAGGTGTGGTTCCAGGCCTTCCTATCATAGACGGATTAACACATCGCTGGTTGTTGGGTCTCACGGCCGTTATCACTGGTACCTGGGACCTCACCTGTGAAGGTCAATGGGTACCACTGTTACTGTTGAGTTGTTCTCACTGACTCTAAGCACTGTTCACCACTGTTCACCTCTGTTTAACACTGGTTCCATTCCTTTCCTAAATGAAATAGTAACTTCTGGCGAGAACATGTTGATATTCCGGTGGGGAGGAGGGTTCAGGGGAGGGAGTTGGTATGGGCCAACATAACAGTTGACCTGGCTGCTCTGGAGAGGAGCGCCAGGTACGTCTTGACCCTTCGGTGGTGCACCAGGGAGAGTGTACTATGTGTACACCAGGGAGAGTGTAATCTGTGTACACCAGGGAGAGTGTACTGTGTGCACCAGGGAGAGTGTACTATGTGTACACCAGGGAGAGTGTACACTGTGTAATCCAGGGAGAGTGTACTGTGTACACCAGGGAGAGTGTAATCTGTGTATACCAGGGAGAGTGTACTGTGTGCACCAGGAGAGTGTACTATGTGTACACCACGGAGAGGTACACTGTGTACACCACGGAGAGTGTAATCTGTGTATACCAGGGAGGTGTACTGTGTGCACCAGGGAGAGAGTACTATGTTTACACCAGGGAGAGTATACACTGTGTACACCAGGGAGAGTGTAATCTGTGTACACCAGGGAGAGTGTACTGTGTGCACCAGGGAGAGAGTACTATGTGTACACCAGGGAGAGTGTAATCTGTGTATACCAGGGGAGAGTGACTGTGTGCACCAGGGAGAGAGTACTATGTGTACACCAGGAGAGTGTAATCTGTGTACACCAGGGAGAGTGTACTGTGTGCACCAGGGAGAGAGTACTATGTGTACACCAGGGAGAGTGTAATCTGTGTACACCAGGGAGAGGTAATCTGTGTACACCAGGGAGAGTGTACACTGTGTACACCAGGGAGAGTGTACTATGTATACAACAGGGAGAGTATAGTCTGTGTAGACCTGGGAGTGTGTAGGCTACTCTGTAGACCTTGGGAGTGTGTGTAGGCTACTCCTGAGTAGACCTGGAAGTATGTAGGCTACCCGTGTAGACCTGGGAGTTTGTAGGCTATTCCGTGTAGACATGGGAGTGTGTAGGCTACTCCCGTGAAGACCTGGGAGTGTGTAGGCTACTCTGTAGACCTGGGAGTGTGTAGGCTACTCTGTGTAGACCTGGGAGTGTGTAGGCTACTCCGTAGACCTGGGAGTGTGTAGGCTACTCCGTGTAGACCTGGGAGTGTGTAGGCTACTCCGTGTAGACCTGGGAGTATGTAGGCTACTCCGTGTAGACCTGGGAGGTGTAGGCTACTCCGTGTGACCTGGGAGTATGTAGGCTACCCGTAGACCTGGGAGGTGTAGGCTACTCCGTGTAGGCCTGGGAGGTGTATTTATTACTGGGAGTTAGGTTGGTGTATATGAACACTAACAGTGGTGAGAGGAGCTGGTGACCCACACCTGTTACT